GGAAGAAAGGACCCTCGTCGATATATCCTTATACTTGGGTGAGAAAAAGGTGAAGTTTGTCTATCACGTGTAATTCTTGCATCCCGGACACAAGATATGGCTTGGCATCCAAGTCTAGCCCCGCGGCACAGGAGCGTTCGCTTCCAGGTTCCTTGAGCGCTGCTTGGGCGAGCGCCGAGTAAATTTAGCAATGCGCTGCGTTAGCTCTTCCCACCTGGCACAACGACGACAAAGCGTCACCTCACTGGTTCGAAAAGAAAACATTCCCGCATGGCACCAGCAATATCAACATCCGGCGCATCACAGTAAAGACCCGGCAGCAATTCGACAAGCTGACCGACGCCTATGATGGTGTCAAGCCGGCAATAGGCTCCCCAAGTTGTTGAAATTCACAATCGAGTTCGCGATACATTGCAATGGCAGCTTCCCGTCGCGGCCAACCGGCCCTTTCGGTTCACCTGCCGCAACCCGCTTCCCCAGCCGTCCTACCAGACCTCCCACCGATTTCTGCCCTGTTTCTGATTGAATTTGACGTCAAAGCAGGCTACACCATTGTCTGGAAGCGCGCAGTGGAGGGACTCGAGCTCGAGGGCGCCGTCGAGTACAAAAGCTTACCGTCGGGCTTGCACACCGTCTCTAACGACCTCATTTACTTCGTCCACGATGGCGCCCATGCTGGCCTCAGCGCATTTGTCAACATCCCAACAGAAGAGGAAGAGACCCGCCATGCCCGTATGATTGCCGTTGGAGTTTTGGTGCCTCTTAGCTACGGTCGACTGGGGAGGGCTTGGCGCCACGCAGAGGGTTTGCAAACCATTGCCAGCAAGCTGGCTGAAGATAGGGAACAGATACGGCTGCTGGAAGAATACTGGGATAGGAATGGAGCCCGTGAGACATCGGTACCACAACCCCTGAAAGAAGCTGCTCTGGCCTCGCCTGCCTTCAGCTTCAGGGCTCTTCGTCCCGGACTGGGGAAAGGACACACTAGGAATAGGTCTGCTTCGGACGGGACTGCCCTGATACCACCAGGCCATAGGCTTTCGCCATTCCACCCTGCCTGGAGCCTTACCTCTTTGCTTGATATTTTCGGCCCGTTGATATTCCCTATTCACCGCGCTGCTCTGTTGCGCAAGCGCATTCTGATTTCCTGCCATGCGCCGGTGCATGAGGTGTGCAATTATGGTATGTCTTTCTTGCCAGTCAGTTCACTCTCCTGGTTGCTTACCTGTTTACCGCATAGTGTACGATATTTCCGTCCTGTCAAATATTCCTTTGTCTGTTTGCGACGTAATCGATCCAGCTGCTCCCGTCCAGCGTTTAAGACCACTTTTCACCATTGGTGTACATGATATTTCATATCTCCTCGAGCACCAAGCTACTTTGAAGCGGCGCTCGACTCAAGACGATGACTCCGCGGACCCGGCCAGCAGCGATGACACAAGTTCGGGTTGGATTGCCTGCACTACGGATAGTATCCTAGCCATGAAGGGTGGTCTTTGGGACATGCTCATTACCATGCCACCACCGCATTCTTCCAACGCCAAGGAAAAGGTCTGGCCCATTGTTGAGTGTCCCAAAGGCGTTCCCGTCAAAGCCAGCCAGCGCGACCTCCGCCGATTCCGCTCTCTCAGGGCAGGTCTCGCTCGTCTCGCGGCCGCTTCATCCTCAGACGCTCAAGCAGTTCAAACAAACCCCCGAAGTCCCCGCTCGGAGACGAGTGATGTCGGCACACCATCGACGCCAGCCATCTGTCTCTCTGATAACAAACAGGCTGCTTCGTCACGTCCCGGCACGGCGGCAGGTGTTCGCCCCGCAATGACGATAGCCGACGATGAAGCTGACAAGATTGTTGAGCCCACAACCTGGGCATCTCTCGCATATAATGGGTTCATGTGGTGGGCTTCGGCTGGTGAGAAGCGGCATTCAGACGAGGTGGATGAGCAGGGTCATGATGCAGCGCTGCTCGCGGATCTCGGTCCACCAGTGTCTCCCTCTATGACAGCTGCCCCGCAAAGGAGAACCAGTTTCGGAACAACGTCTGCCAGCGTGTTTGATTCGCTAACGTCGTTGACAGCTCGTCAACCCAACGGTGGCGAACTGGACGGCAATGATGATGACAGGGCGAGAATCGAGTTAGCGATAATAGCGTACTTTCACCGACTAACTACTTCGATTCTGGGGGTTTTGGCGGATATTGTTGATTCAAGCGATGACGATGATTTTCTGGATTTGGACATAGACTATACTGAGCCAGCAGTCCTAAGTGAAGGTGAGGGCGATGACCAAGAGAGGCTCTTGAATCAAGACCAGGGTGGAAGCTGGGTCAGAGTGGATAGTGACGCGCTCGCTCAGATGGGGCTTGATGTCTGGAGTCAGGCGGATGCAGACTTTGTCAAGGAGGTCGTTGCAAGGTACTTCTCTGGCAAGAGGGCGGTTGTGCTGACCAAGGGGGTTGAGGTTTGCGGTGTGAGAGTTTGCTAATGGCGAAATGAATGTCAAAGGGTGATGTCTCCTTTTTTTTTCTTCCTTCTTTTTTCCTCGTCGAATCGCATGGGGTTATTTTAGGGAATATTGGCAGGTTATCGAACTTTATGCATATGGGTATACGGGTTATCCGATTTCTTGGTCGTTTGGGACACTGTGTAAATGCGACTGCTCATATAAATGTCTGAAACATTAAAACATCCTATTGGACACGCTTCGCGCCACACATACCACCCCCGCGACACCTCCGAGGTGCGAGCGGGGGACCGAATTTTTGCTTCCTTTCTTGCTGGCTGCTTGGTACAGTGGTTTCAAATTCTTCCCCATTTGTTTTCCTAATGTCACGCAGCACAGAGCTTTCAAGATGATTGAATTCATCCAAAAAAAAGTTGCAGAGGATAATCCATGCATCAATCCGTTCACTCTGGCTGACAATCCTATCAACGACACCGCCGACGGACCCCAGACAGAACTCGACCTCTATGAAGCCAACAATGATGGTTCAAAGTTCTTCAACCCTGCTAAAAAGCTTCGCCACCTTGAGGCAAGCTCGCGCGACCTTGAAAAAACAATCACCAAACTCTGCGGCCACGGCGAGGAGGAATGTCAGATGGCAACAAAAATGTTTTTCAACAGGAGCACCTACTCGCCCATACGCCTCACCGCGGAACTGGGATGGGAACCCACGGCCCGAGGAGGAGGGGAAGAAGGAGGCTTTCTGGCTGGTTCCAACACCCCTGCATGCACGTGGTACGATGCCTTTGAGGACTTGATCCGCATCAGCTCCGGACTTGAAATGACGGAGTTGTCAACTATTCGCGAGATCCCTGCAACCATCGGGCACTACGATATTGGGGCACGGTTACCCTTCTTGGAGGGGACGGTGAAGGAGGCGGTCAGGGGAATAAGCATGATGCTTAGAAGTATCCTCAACGAAGCGCTTCATTCATATCTGCCAGTCAAGGAGACGCCGCGGACAATGGAGGAGTGGGTTGCCAAGAGGCAATCAGAGGGTCTCGCGGCAAAGCTGCGGAGGAAACGTTACGAGACTGCTTCCCTCACACAGGTGGGGCGATTATTTTTAGAGCAGTCTCAGCAGATCGAGGCATCAATGGTATTAGCAAAGGGGGTGCGCGAGGATATCGGGGTGGTTCGTGAGGCAGAGATGGAAAGGGTCAAGAAGGGGGACGTAAAAGAGGTGGTGGCTTCAAATATCATGCTCATCGTCGCGTTAATGAAAGGCCACAGAGAACTGATGGATACGGCTGGGCGGAGGTCATGCGACCGAAACACTTCGATGTTGGAGCAGATAGCTAAAGGGCTAATCGTGTCCAAGGGCAAGGTCACGAGGTTCGAAGAGGATGGGCTCGTCAGGGAGACCACCACGAACCCGCTTGCGGATGCTTCTGGAAGGCCTATAGGCACTCAAACCTCAACTCTCTGGAGGAATCCTTCCACCGGCGAGGTGGTGAAGATTATCCCTCCGCTGCTTGAGCTGGACTTCGGTGGGACTTCTTTACGATTTGATGGTCAAGGACTTCGCTGGAAAGGCAGACACGAACCCGATGGTCAGGTGCCTGCTGTTGATAAGTCGGAGCTGAATCGTCAAGAAGGGGATATAAACGAATCAAGGTACAAGAAGTGGTCGTTCTGGAAGTGAGAGTGGTGCATTGATCGTAAAAACAGGCAACCGCCCGTACCTCAGCAGACTGAAAAGGGGGGAAGTGGAGGGCGAGGTGACTGAATATCTTCTTTATCGGGTGAACACGTTGCCAGATAAGCTGAATAAATCTTAACTACCCTTGAATGACAGGTTGAAGATGATTGCACTCGAAGGGTTGAAAGTATGGGCGGCCCTAGAGGGGAACTAAAGTTGGGAAGGCAAATGTTACCAGGGGAAAAGATAGGGCACTAGTCAAGGAGACCTATACGAACGAAACATATGACAAAGGTTGGAGGCTATATTGGCATGTGGATTTCGATCATATGGAAGAATAAGAGCGAATGTGCCATTACTAGGGTCCACAACTTTATTGATCGTCTGGAATTACTACCCGAAGCGCCGAAGAATAAGGCGTCTACGGCATCTGATAAATCCAAGGCGGATATGCAGGAGGGTGGACGAGTGAAGGATTTGAAGTACAGGAAGTGGCAGTTTCCCAAGTGACGCCCTGAGTAACGCATGAATGACACCGGCAGGCAGTGAGATATTAGAGTATAAACACACTTCATTACTACATAGAACACAAGTGACACAGAAACAGTCATTTAGGTTCATGGAGGGGTTCAGCCAAGTACAAGAAAGCGGATAGCCAAGACAAGAAGCATTAATAACTTAGCATCATACAACAAACACCACACACTCACTTCGAGTCAACAACAGCTAGATAGCTGGTCCTGGATTACAAATAACTATGAGCCCACTCACTCTTTCTCATTCATATTAACATTCAAAACGTAAAAGAATATATATATATCGAGAATGAGCAAAAATAAAAATAAAAAGCAAAATAAACAGGTCGTACCCGGAATCGAACCGGGGTTGCCGGAATATTTTTTTCTGAAAATATCCATCAGAATCCGGAGTGATAACCGCTACACTATACAACCATTACAATATCGCTACGAAGCTGTGTTGTGAAATACGTCGCGGAAGCAGCCTTCATAAACGGCGAGTTAGATAAAGCACAGGAGTGCTGGCCGCTTTGAGGTTTGTGCTCTTTTCTCCTTCCATCGTGTTTGTTTGTGGAACCCGGAAAGGGACATCAATGTGATAAGAGAAGATGGGAAGTAAGGATATGGAACCCGAAGAAAACCGGGTGTTGATGTGTAATTGCAGAGCAATCAAGTGAGAAGTAGGGACATTTAGTTGCTTCACTGGTGTTCTGAAGTTGATGATGCATGATGATTCGGGATTGCGATATGGATGAATAAAAGTTTTACTGTAACAGAAGTATATAACTAGAAATATAAGACTTTGGGATGAAACTGTAGGCTGTACGAAGTAAAAACGTCATTTGGAACTGTAGAGAAAGGGTGAAGACCAGAGAGGCCTCTCGACATATCTGGAAAAAGACTTGAGAGAGAAAACAATAATGCATGCAGTGTATTTCTGAGCTTTGAGCAAGCATGAAAGATAAATCGCTCAAGAATCAGGTTCTGGAACGAAGCTGCTTCAATATCAGATACCTCTCTATGCTTGACTCCCTTTTCGCAATCCTAGCCCTTTGTAATATGCTGTCACACATCAAAATATATTTCTAACTCCCCTCTTTGCATTTCAACCCCGTTGTATATATGATTGACCCCATTCTATGTGCTGTTGACGCCTGTACATATTATTGACTCAATGCTAAGTATTAAAATCAAATGGATATCTGTCACTCCGCTCGCCCCTCATTTCTTTCCAGCCCTTACCTCACTCTTCTTCTTCCGCATTTCTCTTTTCCTCTGTACAATCTGCGTCCTCATAGCCAGTTTAGTATCGACGTTCTTCCTCCCCGCCTTATCCAACAGCCCCCTGTCCTCACCACCCTTCTTCCGCTTACCCGCCTTCTCATCACCACCCTTGTTATCCGCTGACTTCTTGCCCTTGGTACTCTTATTCCAGTCACCCCTGGCCTTTTTGGCCGCCTTCCAATCCGGCTCCTCAGCCCTACCCTTCTTGCCGCGCTTCTTCTTATTCTTCTCCTCCATGTCCCTGGCTTTTGCGCCTGGCTCCCTAGGCCCCAGAGTCTTGATCTTCTCTTCGTGCTGCTTTCGTCTCTGGACAACATTCGCATTCTCAATAGCAAACTCGACAACCAATCTCTGCGTCTTGCCCTGCTCATTCTTCAACGCATGGCCGTTGAGCCACCGCAGACCCATTAGAGCCCAGCGGTGAGACGAGTACTCGATGAAACCGTACCCTCTGCTCTTGCCAGCGCCGGCAGCCTTCTTCTCTTCCACTTTCTGGCCGTGGGTAGTCTCAAATACAATCTTGGCTTGGCTGACCACACCCTTGCCCTTTTCTTTCCTGCGATGTTCGGCTTCCTTATCCTGCTCACCACCACGCAAGTTCTCTTCCTTGGAAATAGGAGCACGCTTGCCTTCCTTGACGTCCTTGGCGAAGCCAACAACAGCTTCACGCGCCAACGCTTTGAGTCCCTTGGAATCGATGTTATTCGGAATGTTGCGGACAGCAAGACGAGTCAAACTGAGATGCAAAGCCGGGTTGGATTCGATCAGCTTCTTGCGTTGCTTCGCACTCTGCTCGCGAAGCTTGACTTCCTGAGCAGAAAGCTTGGCGAAAAGGGGAGAGCTGGCGGGAATGGATCCCTCGGCAAGGAGGAAGAGCCTTCTCTTGTCCCTGTTCTTCTTGTACGTGGTGACATCCGCGAGACGGGAAGCCTCATCCTTGTTGACTGCCTGAACGACCTGGAGTACGCGTCCATCCATTGTGTACTTACCTTCGGGGTCGAGAGTGTCGTTTTGCAGAACAGAGTGCTTGGCCAGTGTAGGAGCGGGCTGGTGTCGGGGCGCACCTTTTAGGCAGGCTTTCGCTTCCTCGGGGTTAAAGAAGCAGACGAAGCCAGTACCAGCTGGCCGGTCGGTGCCGCGCTCTTTTACTACTCTTGCGTACCTCACTGCGCCGAAGATGGTGAATTTTTCTTTTAGTTGCTCGTCGGTGGTGGTGTACGGGAGGTTGCGAATGAAAAGAGTTGTTGAGTTGTCGTCGGCAAGCTTCTTCTTGGCTGCAGCATCCTCCTCGTCCTCAAATACATCTGAGAGTTCAGTCTCAAATTCATCGTCATCCTCGCTGTCCGTCTCCTTGTCCGTATCCTCCATGACCCCATCTTCATCCTCGTCCTCGTGCTCGTCCTCCTTATCTTTGTCCTCATCATCTTCATCCTCTTCGTCTTCCAGATTCTCACCATAGTTCTTGAAGAAATTGGCCAAGTCGCGGTCGGCTTGAGTCATGTTCGGGTCGTCTTCCTCTTCCGCTTCCTCCTTCTCAGGTTTCTTGGCTTTCTTGACCTTTGCGCTCTTCTTGTCGTCCTCATCTGCCTTCTCCTCATCCCCTTCAGTTTGTTGTTTCCAAGTCTCTTTGTCAACCGCCCAATCCACTGCGATTGTTCGTCCATCAATTTCCTTGCCATTCAAGGCCTCCATGGCGTTCTCAGCATTCTTGCGACCGCGAAGAGTGACGAAACCGAAACCAGCCATCTTTCCTTTTTGGCCTGGCAAATCAGCGAATTTGACCTTGCCAAAGCTCTGGAAGAGCTTCGTAAGCTGGTCGGCGTGCTTGATGCTCCATGGCAAGTTGCGAATGATGAGCTTTGGCGCTTTGCGAGCCTCGGTCATCTCCTCCTCTCGCTTCCTCTTCTCCTCGACCACTTTGGATGCGACGGCAGGAGTCGCCTTGGATGCATCGCGGAGACGAGGCTGGGCAATGTCGAGTCTCAGCTTGCGGCCACCGAAATCATGGTTGTTCAGCTTCTCCTTTGCCTCAGTTGCATCCTCAGGGTCGGCGAACGAGACGAAACCGTAGCCTCTGGACTCTTTAGTCTTGGGATCGAGCACGACGGTTGCGTGCTTGACCGGGTAGTGTTGGGAGAAGAAATCTGTAAGGGATTCGCTGGTCGCATTTGGGGGCAGCGATCGCACGAAGAGTGACCTATTTGAGTCGACTCTGGCTTTCTTCGAAGTATGTCCATTTGATTCACCGCTAGCTCCCACTGGAACCTCGTCCGCATCGCGTTGGCGCTTCTTGTCGCCTGGAACTCCCATTGTCGATATGTGTGCTGTGGGACTCGTCGTCTTTGGGATTATTCGGTGGAATTTGGAGCTCCCCTGCTCAATTGAAAAAAAAAACCTAGAGCAGAGCACACGATAAGAGGCTTATCGTCGGATTTGTGGGGCAACAAAACTGACAAGTCGGGGGAGGGACCCCTCCAAACCTGCCCAAGCTAAACTCAATCAGGCAAATAATTGGTAAACAAACAACATTCAGGCCCTCTCCTTCCTTGTCTTTCAATCAACCACTTTTGCGACACAACCCCCACACCCGACTATGAGCTTGATGCGATCAAAAGGTTAGTAACGAATACCGCTCGAAACAAACACGGATATTGCGACATAGGAGCGGAATCGGAACATTCTGACAATCACCGCCCACAATGCCTCGAGCGACGAGGTCGACGAGGTCGTCAACAGCGGCGGGAGGGACGACAGCATCACGGTCTACGCAAGCGTCGCGCGCAGTATCCCACAGTAGCATCGACGTTCCTACCGAGACCCCCGACTCGGCCCTACGCAAGCAAGTCGCCGTCGTGTTCCGCGATGCGCAGCGCACCACCGCCTCTCACCGCAAACTAGCCGTCACTCTGCGCAAAATTCAGGAAGCTTGCTGCTACGAGCCAACAAGTGCCAAGAAGGCGGCCACCACCGAAGAGTTTGACGAGGATGATTTCAACAACGAGTTCATGCGATGCGTCTTGCGCGTCATGCCAGTCAAGAAAAGCGAGTCTGTTGGAGAAAAGACGGTTCGCTTTATAGGCCTGTTCTTGCGGCACTCAATCGACAAGGACAACGAGGTGGTGGGTGAAGCCGACCCCGATGCGAGCACCATGCCCGAGACTCCCGGAACCCGACTTACTACTCATCTCATGGAGACCATTCTGCCGCTGCTGCAGGCCAAAGACAAGTTTGTGCGGTACAGGTCAACGCAGCTCATCTCGCACGTCATCAACTCGCTGGATGCGATCGATGATGACTTGTTCCAGAAGCTGAGGTCGGGGTTGCTTAAGAGGATCCGTGACAAGGAGGCTATGGTTCGCGCACAAGCTGTGTTGGGACTGGGAAGACTGGCCGGTAACCAGGCCGAGGCGGAGCCAAATTCGGATGATAGTGAGGATGACGCGGCGAGCGGGTTGTTGGATAAACTGCTCGAGGTACTGCAGAATGACCCAAGCGCAGATGTGAGGAGGTCGCTTTTGGTCAACTTGCCTATTCTGCCAAATACATTGCCCTTCCTGCTGGAGCGCGCAAGGGACCAGGACGCTGCCACCCGCCGTGCCGTATACTCACGGCTTCTGCCCGCGCTGGGCGACTTCCGCCACTTGTCTCTTTCTATGAGAGAAAAGCTTTTGCGCTGGGGTCTGCGGGACCGAGACGAAAACGTCCGTAAGGCGGCCGGTCGTCTGTTCCGTGAGCGCTGGATTGAGGACTGTGCAGGCACCCCTCCTCCTACTGAGTCTGGTCAGCCGGCTGAGGTGTCGCCTCCTAATCTCGATGCCCTGCTTGAGCTTTTGGAGCGTATTGATGTCATCAACTCCGGAGTTGAAAATGGAGTGGCTCTGGAGGCCATGAAGGGCTTCTGGGAGGGTCGTCCTGATTATAGAGAGGCCATGGTCTTTGATGACACCTTTTTCGAGACCCTCAGTGCCGAATCCGTTTTTGTCTGCCGGACATTCAATGACTTCTGCCGGAATGAAGGCAACGGAAAGTTCGAGTCTTTGGTTGAAGAGAAGCTGCCCGAAGTTACCAAGGTGGCCTTCTACCTGGAACGATACATCAAGGTGCTGATCGATGCAATTAAGCGGGCAGAGGAGCAAGAAGATCTGGAAGAG